CTTCCTTCCTTCCTTCCTTCCTTCCTTCCTTCCTTCCTTCCTTCCTTTTTGTGGGCTCTTGCCATGATGTTTTGTCCTCATGTTCAAAGCCAACCTCTCCTCTCCTCCCCTCTTCCCTCTCCCTCTCTTTCTCTTTCTGTCTCTCTGTGCCTCTCTCTCATCCACTTTTGCTCCCATCCACGGTTGACTGCATCCTAAACAGCTAAGAGAGCCCTGAAATGATGTCACCTCTCTTCTAGACATGTTTCATTTGTCTGCCCGTCAATCACATTCATATCTATAGCAATGTGGGAACACTGGAGGGGAGACGAGAGAGCAAATCTTCCAGGCACGCCTTGGTGGACACTGGAATGTCCCTGGACTGTAGAACCTGGCTGTCTCTGGGTGACTGGGTGAGGGCCCTTTTACCTTAAGGGTCCTGACTCAAGACAGAGTGGGGAGTGTTTTTTCAAAAAACGAAGCTAACAGTATTCTTTGGTATTCTAATTTTATCTGTTATCTTCGAGACAGTCAGTGGCAAACAGTTGACAAATGTCTCTACCACAAAATCCCCTTGAGTACTGACCTTGCTTCTCTGGATTCCTGTTTTCCGGGTAGGCTCTTCCCATCTCTCTCTCGCCGCCCTTGTTCCCTTGTCACCTCCACGCAGTTTTTCTCTGAAAGTTCTAGACTGAGACCTCCTGTGCATCCCACGCAAGGCTCACAAACATCTCTGACTAATAGAGTCATTTAGGAAGCTTTTAAACAGCCAAGTCTGGGGTGAGTGCTCCCCCTCCCTCCCCACAGGAGAGTCTTTGAAGGGTCTGTGGCTCGAATGGTTTTGAGGTGACTTACAAACCACCGAGGTCCACCAGTGCCTTTTCCTAAGAAACTGCCAATCCGCCTCATACTGACAGAGAAAGGCAGACTTTTGTCCTATACAGGTGTGAGAACCAAAGTTACATCTTAAGTTTTAACTACTTGCCTAAGAGCGCCATGAAACAAACAAACAAACAAATGCCTCTGATTGACAAGGCCCTTGCCCAAGGATAGACGGTTCCTGAAATGCTGGAGGCTGTTGTTTATGGGCGATATCAAGTTACAGGTTTTCACTCCCCTAAACAAGCCCAACTACCCCACGTGTGCTGATCACTTGTGGGCGGGAGGTTCACAGGCAGGAAGTATGTCAGGATGTATGCTTGTCCATGATTGGACCTTAATGGGAAATGTAGCAAATTATGGGTTGTGCCTTCCTAAACCCCTATAAAATACGACTTGGGGTCATTTTCTGGGAAACCAGAGATGGACCTGGCCAGTATTTAATTAAAGCTTGCTTCAAATTTGACTTTAAACTGTGGGAGTGCATCTTATTCTCGACACAGGCTCTGCCCAGAGTGTGGTGCTCCAGTGTGTGCAAATACCTCTCACAGCCCTAAATGAAACAGCCGGAAACAGTGCTGTAGCTGGTACAGAGCATGCCCTGAAGAAGGGCTTCCACCCCTCTGTGCTAGATAGGAAGGGGTTAACCACTTCATGCAGGTTAGAACGAGGGTATTCCACCTCTCTGTGCAGGTAAGGAGAGGGTTCCAGTACCCCACGTATGTTTAGGAAGGCGTCCCACCCTTCTACAAAAGATAAGAAATCTACAGAGCTATTTCAACAAACTTGGACTGATACTTGCAGAGTATCATCAGTATAACCTTGTGTTTTAACACAGAAAGACTTCAAAGAGCAGAGAGATATTGCCTTACAAAACTCCTTCTATTCCTGCATTCACACATGGAAATCCATTCATTCTAGTTCTTATGTAAACAGAAAAGGAATAAATGATACTGTCCTGTTGGTAAATACTAATTACTGTAATTAATCACTAGTATTGCATTTAATTGCATCATCACCTATTTGTTAATTTTATTATTTAAATAACTTAGTCAATTAAATCATTATGCAGTTACACAATTAATTACTACTTGCCTTAAACACCAGGTTCTATAATTTTCCTTAAGCAGTTTCTACTATGACTTTACTTTCCACGTCTGATGCTGTTCAAACTTTGTGAGATGTTTCTAGATAAGTTTTGCAGTGATAGTATTTCAATCAAGAAGAAACCACCTTTAACGCTTAGATTTCTATTGGTAAAACATTTAAAGACTAAAATGTCAATTTATGTTTTTCTTTCCTTTTATTTTTGGTGGCAAAGTCATACTAGAGGGTTAGCAGCAAAAGACACAAGACAAACAGATATTTTTATCAGATTCCTCCAGGTGAACAGTACAGGAATCTGAGTTGAAGGAGAAAAGAACTAATGTTTTTCTGTCTTAACTGTGGTTGGTTGCATGAGCCCTTGATAGCGTATTAGAAAGCACTGGCTACTGTGAAGAGAAGATTGTCAAAAACAAAGAGAGCGAGAAGATTGTCATAATTTTAATTTAAAATGTCAATATTACAGTGTGCCAGAACAGACACTTAACAACCAGACTTGCCATTAAATGCAGGTGCTATTGTTCTTTAAAAAGATATGATGGGATGCCCCAGCGCCCGCCAGAGCAGTGCAAGTTCCCCGGGCAAGCGGCAAAGTCAGGCGGCTGGATGCGGTGGACGGCAGAGTAAATGGACATAAGGCAATACATAAAGCTAAACATTTATTACTTAAAGAAGAGTGAGACATTTATTACTTAAAAAGAGGGAGACAGAGAGACATAGAGACAGACATAGAGAGAGAGACAGAGACACGTGTACACACACCAAGAGACAAAACAAAAGAGAGAGAGGAAGATGGCGACGAGGGAGGTCAGAAGTGGCTGGGGAGTGAACGTGGTTAGTCCTTAAAGGCACCACAAAGAAATAACAGGTGCCAAATGACAGGCGTTTGAGGGGTGAGCTAGTGCCGTGGTCCTGGGTGTGCACGCTGAGAACTGCAACACCAGGTTGCAGAGACTGACAGCCAGCAGGCTAGGTAGGGTGGGACAGTGGCAGGAATCCCCAGCACTGGCGAGGTAGAAGCAGGAGCATCAGAGTTCAAGGTCACCTCCTGACAAGCTGGAGGCTAGCCTGGGCTATCTAAGACACCATTTATTTATTTATTTATTTATTTATTTATTTATTTATTTATTTATTGTTTTTAAAGATGCCCCCAGAGCAGGATTGGCTCCGGGAACTGGGTATTCTGGTATTTATATCTTCTCCAGGGTCTCAGGGATCGGCTTGATTGGGAAATTGTCACTGCTGTCGGTGGGTGTGACTCCCGCCACGTCTCAGCTTTTCCCGAGTTTCCTTGCCATCTGTCACAGCTATTTTTAGCCGCTTGAAACGTGGGTCTGTCAAAGCCCCTGTTCGATCATAGGTTACTCATAATTAGACCTCTTCACACAGTCTTCGCTCATCAAACTCATTTGCATTTCTCCCCAGGGCGGCTGACTCCTGGAGACTGCTCAGCTGGTCTTTGAAGACAGCCTCCCAAGGGCGATTTCAAGGGTTTTCAGCAAGCTTCTCCTCCTTCCCAAGGAGGAAACCCATACACAGAGCCCCTTCCTGGGGTGCCTACTTCTGGGTCTGGGTGCCCTCTCTTCTAGTTGGCCCCTTGTTCCCTGGTTTTCAGACTTCGCCTTCTGTTAGTCCCAGGTGGGAAAACTATCACCGCAAGGCACAGATTTGGGACAGCTGAGAAATGTCAGAGTGAAGAGAAGATGGAAGAAGCAGGCTCAGGTCTGGCCAGCAGAAGACCAGAGACAGCCAAAGCAGTGACATCGGAGTGATATAGGACCACAGATGTGAGCGTCACATTTACTGTAAATGCTGATGTAACAAGGCCCCCTGCTGTGTCTGAATGTGCTCCCCCACACCCCCTACCAGGTTCAGGGGGCAGAAACAAATGTTGAGAGTCAGTTAGGTCATCAAGCATGTCCTCCAGCACAAATTAATGAATGACATTGTTATGGAGTGGGCTTCTAATAAGGTCCCACCCCCTCTACCGCACAAGCCCCTCTCCTCCTCAGCCTTTCCTCACTCTTATTCTCTTGCCACGTGACATTTCCACCATGGAGCAGCACAACACCAAAGCTCAATGCTCTTGACCGAGGTCATCGTGTGCTCTTGAGCATCTCAGCCCCAGAACCGTAAAGCAAATGTATACATTTTGTTCTTTATAAATTGCCCAGCCCGTGACCTGTTAGAACAGCAGAAAGAGCATGAGGACCCTTACTGTCTTCCCCCTTAGTGGATTCCACAGCCCATGTCTGTGTTGTCTTAAAGGGAGAGTATTAAGGGACCAGAATGTGAAATGGCATGTTTTAGGTGACCAGGATCTAGAGGTGGTACCAACATAGATGTCCCAGGAGCTTGGCAGCAGAAGGGGTGGTGAGGATCACGGTGAAAGGTCCTGTCCATTGGGGCCTGAGAGACCTAGGAACCAGCTGCTTGAGGCGTTCTGTCCCCTGGGGAGAGTGGAGTAGGCAGGTCTGAAGGTTGGCAGGGTCTCATATCCTGGTGTGGTGAGGCTGGACCTCCATGGCATGCCTTAGAGGGTGAGCCACACGAGGGCATTCTGATTTCCAATGTGGTCAGTTTCCCTGGTGGGGGCCCCGGTGGCCTCAGTACAGTTGCTGAGGCTTGGGCTTGAAGTGTAGACTTATGTTGTAGCCTTGTCTGTCGGGAGGACTCGGCTGTCTCTTCTTGGGTACTGGAAACTTTAAAAACCACCAACGGCTGTATGGGAGTTTAGGGACCATCCTCAGCCTTTTTAAAATTTCTTTCTAATATCTGACGCTGACTGAGAAATAAAATGGGTGACCAGGATTGTGGTTCCTGCTGGGGAGGCTGGGTCAAAGTCAAGTATATTGAACCATGCGTGGTCTCTAGTAATTGATTTAGAAAAATGGTCAGGTTCTTATCAGCTAACTGTGTAATCTCTCAGAGCTTATCAAAATTAGCAACTTTTTCTGAGTCCATCTCCATACCCTGAAGGCAGGTATGAGGTCCTTGTAATGATTATTCTGTCTCTTTAAGAGACAAGCCGTGCCCACTCCCTCCTCCATCCACTGAGGCAGGCTGATCTTCAGTTTCCTGCCTGAGTTCTCATTCTTTTCTAGCTCCCTCTCAGAGAGGCAGCTTCGGTCTCTTCTCCTCTCTCTCTCTATCTGCCTCTCTGTTCCTCTCCCCTTCTCCCTTCTGATGTTGACTGGGGTTTCTGTCCTGCCTGGTTTCTGTCCTTCCACCAGGTCCCAAAGAAAATCACACAGATCACACAGAGATCTACATAAGTTATTGGCCCATTAGCTCAGGGTTCTTATTAACGCTTATAACTTATATTAGCCCATTATTCTAGTATATATTAGCCACATGGCTCGGTACCCTTTTCAGCAGGGCAGGTCACATCTTCCTTCGTTGGTGTTTAGGGGACTGTGGAGGAATGGGCTTCCTCCTTCCCAGAATTCTTTCGTTATCTTTGACACCCCTCTATTTACAGTCTGGTTGTCCTGGCTATACTTCTTGCCTGGCTACTGGCCAATCAACATTTATTTAAAACATAATTGACAGGATATAGACAATTGTCCTGCACTACCTTCCCTTCCATAACCACTAAATAAATATGCAACCTCACTCTGCATGGTGTGCCTATCCATCTGTCTCTCACCCGTGGTCGCCACATGACTCGCCACTGGGGATGTTGCCGGGGACCAGTCACATTCGGAGACCTGACACGTGGTCTCATGTGCCATCCCTGCCTGAGACTGGCTGCTCTCGGGACCCACTGCCCCCTACCTGCCACCACATGGCCCGTTGCCACCACTTGGATACCTACAGAATGTCTGCTGCCTGCTGCCATTGGGGATCCTGCAGCATTTTTTAATAATCCGTTACTGCCTCTGCCTCCTGTTCTGATCTGGTTGATAGCCCCAGTATGGTTTTATAGCTGGCATGGCTATGTTACCCATAGGGATCATATTTTCCCCTAGGTGGGTCTGGTCTGCATACTGTCTAGCTGTTACCTGAACTGGAGTTTGCTCTTTGGGAGTGAGAGTGGAGGCCTGGTGACACAGAGGTCAAATTGTAGGCCTGGGACAGATGACGAAACTCTTTGATATAAGCATTAAGATTGGCAGAGATGGAACTCGATTGCTTTTCTATTCATGAGAAGTCCGGAAAAGAGAAGGGAGCTTGGCCTCAAACAATTCCATTGGCTCCAGCCACCTCAGAGAAGGGCAGGGGTTTGGCAAGACCGGATACGAGAAGAGACCAGGGAGGATTCAGTGGGGTTAGGTCAACGTGTAGAAGGGGACTCGGATGTGCTTTGTGGCATGGAAGGAGAGAGGTGGTAGGAGCAAGGGGAGAAGAGGAAATTGGGTAGGGAATTGACCCTTGACCTTCATCCTGGAAGGGTGGCTGGGGGAAGGGGTGGATGGGGGAGGAATGAGAGGAATGTGAGGATGTTGGCCCCATAGGAGAGGTGTAGGTAGGCAGGGCTGGGGGTGTTACCTTTTATAAACATATGGTGGTGGGGAATTGGTTCCACAAGGGGTAGCGGTCTCATGAGAGGCAGTGGAATGTCACCGAAGGCCTTTGGAGGGTCCTCTTGGTGGGTGGGAGACCAAGATGGGTGAGAGATAAACAGATACATCAGGCAGTGAGAGAGCTTGGGTATAGAGTTTATTTAGTGGGTTGTGGAGGGCAAAGGGAAGGGGGGAGGGAGAACGAGGGAAAGGAGAAAGCAGGGAGAATATGGGGGAGAGAGGTAGTAGTTACCTCTTCAAAAGAGGGACAGAAGAGAGAGAGCAGGGTGGAGAGGAGGCAGAAGGGAGGGTTGGGAGTGGGCAGGGCTTGTTTCTTAAAGGGATAGGATACCCAGGTGACAGACCAGACCAGGAGATTATAACAGGGGGGAGTGGGGGAGGGACCAGTATCTCAGTATCTCAAGCAGTATGGTCAGGGCAGAATTTTCAGGATCCTAGTCCCCAGATAGGCAGGAATCTGGAGGTGCCGTGACCCTAGCCAACAAGACCGGTGCTGTGAGACACTGGCTACTGAAGGAAGTTGGGAGCTCAGTACCCAGAAACCGTGGACATGCTGGCATGTCCCCACGCTCGCAAAGATTTTCAAGGTCATGGAGGATGGAAAATTCAAGAGTTCCCTCCTGTGGCCATTGGGTCCGATTTTCAAGAGCATATTGAGGCCACAGAGACATCAGGCATTCAGGATGTATGGTGTCAGACAGCCACAACTTAAAAAGATTTTTTGTAAAAGGCAATCCAAGGGCATTGGGGATCTGGCTTTGAACTGCACGTGCTCATACTACAAGTCTATGCAGGGACCTGAAGCCTAGTGCAATGTGTCACTGAGGTAGGCTTTGGGTAAAGAAAAGAGGGGTGTGGGACATTTTGGAAAACCAGAAGATGGGGAGGGGGGTCCCAGCTGCTGAACAGACAGATCAAGTATTTTAAATAAGTGCCTACTTGAGTCTGGAGAGGTGGTACCAGCATGGAGTCCCAGAGTGGACGATTGTGTGAAGCTTCAATTTTGCGGGAGAACCCAAAATGTTGGAGATGCCAGAACCATGGAATATCTGCCAAGGAAAGCTGTATACAGGAGTGGAACCAACCCAAGAGAAAGAATTGTGTTGCTGTCAACAGAGCTGGAAGGAGCGGCAGTTCTGAAGAGTCTTTGATATCAGGCATAATGTTTCTTGGATTGGAGTTTGCCCTGTTGAGTTTCAGTCTTGCTTTGGTCCAGTATTTCATTACTCTATCCCTTTCCTTCCCCTTTGGAATGGTAGTGTGTATTCTGTGCCACTGTATGTTGGAAGCATATAATTTGCGTTTTGAATTTGGTTTTACAGGTTACAAATTAAGAGATTGTCTTGAGTCTTAGGAGAGACTTGAACTTTTAAACAGTATTGAGTCTGGAAAAGAATATGGAGACTCAAAGATCTGGGCTGAATGCATTTTGCAGTATGATATGGTTGTATGTCTATAAGGGCCAAGGAGTAGAATGAGGAGGGTGAAGTGAAGATGGCCTCCATAGGCTCATATTTGAATGTTGGTCCCTAGTTGTTTGGGGGAAGGATTAGGATGTGGCCTTGTTGGAGGAGGCTTTGAAGTTTCAAAAGCCCATGCCCAAGCCCAGACCTAGGCCCAGTCTTTCTCTCTCTCTCTCTCCCTCCCTCCCTCTCTCTGCCTTTTGCCTGTGGATCAGGTATAAGCTCTTAGCTAACATTCCAACACCACAGCTGTCTACCTGCCACCATACTTCTCACCATGATGGTCATGGACTCACCCTGTGAAGCTGTAGGCCAGCCCCTAATTAAATGCTTTCTCCTATAAGCATTTTGATCATCGTATTTTTTCATAGCAATAAGAAAGTAACTAAGATAATTACTCACAGAAAATTTCAGAGATATATGGGCTTCAGACTTCTCTTCCTAAAAGTACTTCTGCCTTCCAGGACTAACTTGGGTAGATGTGAGGCTTGGAACCGTAGGCAGAGCCTGCTTGTTTGTCCCCAGTCACCAAGACCTGAAATAATCACACAGAAGCTATATTAATTATGACACTGCTTGACCAATCACGTAAGCATATGGCTAGCTAGCTCTTATATCTTAAATTAATCCATTTCCTTATATTGCATTTTACCATGAGTCTGGTGGTTTACTGGTAAGGTTCCCTGGTGTCTTTCTCCTCTGGCAGCTTCATGTCATCTCCTTGACTCTGCCTACTCTCTCGACATCTCTTCCAGCCTGACTATATTCTTCCCTGCTATAGGCTGAAACAGCTTCTTTATTAACCAATGGTAATAAAACATACTTATAACATACAGAGGGGAATCCCACATCATGGAAATAACCAAATAGTATGATTTTTGCTGCATATCCTAGAAATACTGAAATGTGGTTACCAGGAGCTTTACATAACTTTAAAAATATTCCAAGAAAAGAATCTTGTTCCACATGTTCTGAAGTCCAAGGTGATGTTCTGATGTTAAAAATTCTTTATGTCCTCTCTCACTTTCTTTTCCTTGGCTCTCCTCCACCCGGTCCCCTTCACACACACTAGGCCAGTTACTGAGTGCTTTGCATTGGAATGTTGACTGACCCTGCTGACTTGACCTTGTGTGGGTTTTGGGCAGATGACCATAGCCACAGTGAGTCCGTCTGTGCATCAGCCTTGACAATGCCCAGAAGACCGCATTTCACAGCATCTTCCTCAGGCTCCAGCCCTTACTTTCTTTCTCCTTCCTTTTCCCTGAAGTTCCCTGAGACCCATGTGGGGTGTGTGTGTGTGTGTGTGCGTGTGTGTGTGTGTGTGTGTGTGCGCACGCGGGCAGTTGATATGGCTGTCCCATTTAGGGCTGAGCATTTCCTCAGCTCTTTTCCTCAGCTCTTTGACCAGTTACGAATCTCTGTATTAATTTCTACCCACTGCAGAAAGAAGCTCTTCTGGCCCGGGTGGAGCCATCCTAATCTGTGGGTAGAAATAAAAATATTTAGACGGCAGTTTGACAACATGTCCATTTATCAAAACAAGAGAAATCGGTTCCTTCCTAGGGCTTATGACCTCCAGAGAGTCATAGGCTTCTCGCCAGGTTTATAGTACAGGCATGAACTCTCTCTTGTGGAGCAAGCCTCAGATCCAATCAGACAGTGGCTGGTTACCTCTATAGCCCGCATACCTCTGTTGTACCTGTGGCCTCTTAGGCATTGCTGCATTCAGGATTTACCACTGGGTAAGACTGCTAATATCTTTTTTATTTCTTCAGCAGGCTGAAAAGAAGCTATCATAGATAAGTTTACAGGTGAATTCCAGCTTGCTGTCTCTGTCCTGTAGTTGAGGGCACTTTGGAGCAAGGACCTTACATACAGCACTTCCTAAAATCTGAGCTGGCAGGGAACCTCTAACCAAGAATCTCAGTCTCTTTCCAGATGCCCCAGTCTCCCTGGAGGTGCTTTAAGATCGCCATGGGAGGATGTAGCAAGGCTAAGTGGTGATGTAGCCCCCACCCCTGTCCAAGCTGAGCGTCCCTACCTTTATCTGGCCTCTCTGTTGAACTCATTGCTCTTCTAACAAAAAGACGAGGAAGATCCGTGCTGTCAAGTGAAGTTTAAAAGCCACTCGCCTACTCAAAATGAGGTTTAAAAATGACTTA